CTCTATTTGCCCGATAGCTTGAGTGAGTATCTTGTGTAACATTGCGACGATTAATCAAGGTTCTGTCAGAATACATGGTACAATGATCACTTCCAGATTTGGTTGAATAAAATCTGCGATATATTAACTAATAAATGGAAGTAAAATTAAAGTGTATTAATATTAAATGTATTTGATACTGACTTTATTCTCTAAAAGAGAATTGTTTGTTGCATATAGGGGGATTTTTCAAAAGTACAGTATCATATGTTGGGCAAAATGATTAGTAAGAACCACCACCGTATAAAATTGTTTATTATTAGCATGACAAAATTACTGGATGCTGATTGGTTGAGAGGAGTACAATTATTTCATTAATTGTACTGCAGTACAATTAATGATTTTCCCAAAACAAACAAAATGGCGGAAAGGTATTTTAAACTTAATGTGACATGAAATTGTCGTGGAGGAACTAGATGAAAATACGAACGCAAAAGCACCAAATTTTGCTTGAACAAAAGAACTATTTAAATGAAAATACAAACAAAAGCACGAAATTTTGGTTGAAAGTCTGGCAGGACTGAGCTTTGGCGAGAGAATATGATGTTGACATTGAGAAGTATGTATCCAATTTTGTCATGCTAAGGGGTGGTCATTATTTATGGGGAGGGGGGTTGGTAAATGGGGAAAATAAGGATTGAAAACTTTTTTGACCCCCCCCCTCCAGACAAGGCAAACTTTTTGTGCCTCCCCCCTCACAAAAGTAGAAACTTTTCTGACCCCCCCAGTGTGGATTGAAAAATTAACAGCAATGAAACAGGTGTGTGTTGCAGGTAAAGTTATATATATATTAGGACAATCTGTTTAATCTAGCTCATGATGTTTTACCCTGGTGAATATGATTCAACCATATATGATTAAAAAATATATATTATGTGTTACTACTTTGCAATGCAACATTTGTCCTACCATAATCCTAACCCATGGCCCACCTTCATACAGCAAAATGATTTGAACACAGGGTTTTTTTAAAAACTTGTCTGGGGGGTGGGCATCTACAAAAAGGGATCATACTATATTGAGTGTGGAGAGATGACAGATGGTTGTTGGTGACAAAAAGTTTGGTGTGGTATCGTATGTACTAAGGGGTCTGGGGGTATTCTCCCCTAGAAAATGTTTTGTATTTTTCCACCCTTAGAACTGAAATGTGAGCATTTTCTGAAGTAGATTTTTGGATATACAGCATTACATTGTGCTTTGATAGACCGAATCTGATCAGTTAAGTGTAGTTTCATGGTATGCTTATGTAAATACCACAACTGGGTTACTCAGGGGTTAGGAAGCTTAAACTTAGTGGGCCCGACTCCCACAATTGCAAGGCACTACCATGGTTGGCACCGAGCAGGGAAATTTTGAGTCTCTAGATCATTGGAAATAGCATTTTCAGAGTCTTCTTTTAAGTTCAAAAACTTTTTTGACCCCCCCCCACTTTCTCTGTGTTAAAACTTTTTTTACCCCCCCCCTATTTATAAGGGTAAAACTTCGTTTCCCCCCCCTCCCATTCCCCCCCTCCCCATAAATAATGACCACTCCCTAATAATAAACAAGTAATCATGTGATGTTGCTCGTACAATTAGGGATTAATAGTACTCGTGATGTTTGGAAATTTGCCAAATTGGACTCGCCCCGGCGGCTCGTCCAATTTTGGCTAAATTTCCAAACATTACTCATACAATTAATCCCTAATTGTACTTGCCATCGCATGATTACCTATACATATAAAAGTTAATGGTTACATTATACTTACATCAAGGAATTTGACAGCTGCATGCCAATCACCTAGTTGAAAATGCATGCCTTCAAGTCTTGCTTCTGCAGAATAACCATTAGAAACTGAAGAAATTATATTTACTGCTCTCTCAACAGTGAGCTGGTCTCCAGCAAATAACTCCCCATCAAACTTATCCTCCCCAATATCTGGAAGATATTTATGAAATTGTTGCAAAATTGACAACATTTCGTCATTGACATTTTCATTCTTAAATATGATTCCCAGTGGGGTCTACAAAAAGAGATATACTTAAATTAGATGAAACGACTCACTTAATTTATCAATTAACCAGATCATCTTGCAGCGCATACTCAAAATGCTAATAATCATGGGGGTGGATTTACTGGGGGGAGGGGGATTAACCCCCCTAGAATCTCTCTAAAACCCCTCTCATAGAGTGTTAAACCCCACTAACATTTTGCTTCGTCCCTCCTGTTATGTGTGAAAGTCTTTAACCCTAATGCAGTGCCAAAGCTTTTTCCGCCCTTTCTTTTGAAACAATGAAAATCCTAGGTTAAAAAGGTATATGAGAAGTATCCTTGTTGTAATAATTAATTCATGTATTTTATTAACTGTTTTTCATTATTCAATTTATTGGAAATGTACTGGCAAAAATTTTGTGGTCATTTTACCAGGGGCCCCAGGCTTGGATGCCCCCATTACTCAACAACCGGACACCTGCCAGCTAACACCACAGAATGGATAATATCTTCCAATGTGCCAATTAGTACCATTGTTTTGAACTAACCTTATCTGATTTTTCAGACATTTCTTTGCTGTATTTATGTGGTATATGTTTAACACACACATCTTTGAACTCAGCAAATGCATCAAAATAGTCAGATAATATCCTCGACACCAGAACAGTATAATTGAGCCTCTGCTGTCTTTGATCAACAACACTGGAAAGGAAAATGATGTTTGGTATATCATAAATATCAGCTTTTGGTCCTTTGGATGACAAATGGTTGCCAGACACCCTATTCTCAATCATAACATGATTTACCCAGTGTATGTCCCTGTTTTGTGATGTCATTGTCATATTTCTTCTTTTCAGATGAAAGTCAATATTGTCAAAAGCAATCAAAAAACCAGGGTGACATTTTCTTTGTGCATCCTTCAACTCAGTGGCGGCTTTCTTAAGCTTAGATGAAACAGATTCTTGCTGATGATCATGTTTAGATTCCACGTCTTGCTCAGCCAAAATTGTTTTCAACTCATTAACTTCCTGTTTTTTCTTCTCTATTGCTTTATGTTCATTGACTATTATGTCCTTGACTTCATGCAGACGGATATCATGAGACTGGCCAATTGCTTCTAGCTTTAATAAGGTACGATAATTTGATGTAGCAAGCTTCAACTTACTAAATCTGTTCAGGGTGGCCTATAACAAAAAAAAAACAAAATCCAGTTTTAGAAAGCTTAACTTAGATATGCAACTCAGATTTAATATCACAGATGAGGATACAAACTGAGGTAAAAATGCTGCTGTTTGACTGTGCAATTAGCGAGGAATAAATTATGAAAACAGGATTGAACCATGTTTACTCACATTATTCACAGCTGTCAACAATATTGAACAACATTGTTACACCCGGATTCAAACTCAACAATATTGTTCAGCAAAAAATTGTTCAGTCATGTTAAACAGCAGGCGGTTATCATTCCATGTTTCGCGCACCAATATAGGTTAGGGTTAGGGGTTAGGTATTAAGGTTAGGTTAGGGGTTGGGGTTAGGGTGTGTTATATGTGTATGGAGGTATCTACTGTAGTGAACTTTTCAGTACACTATAATATCCATTACATAACGTTTACTATATTGGTGCGCGAAACATGGAACGATTACCCAGCAGGCTCATAAGTTTTATGCCTGTACTCTCTGCTACAGGCTAGTAATATAACACCATGTGATCCAGGCTAGGAGTAGGAATATACTGTACATGTAGAACATTATTAGGGACTTTAATTGGGGGGCTCTCTTTGTGCAACCTAGCTTGTGTTTTAAAAAATATTCTTATAGTTATATGAACAGGAGTGCAGATACACTAATACAGTAACACACCTGAAATTGTTTTTATCCAGAGCGAATGGTACAGTAGATATGGGGTGAAGATATTAAAAGATTTATAGCCAAACTCTGATATGCATAAAACAAAATATTTATAATATACATATAAAAATCCAAGTTCATACCTCGATAGACTTTGTTTTCAAAAGTAATCCAATGACAATGGCTGTTGCACTCATATGGTTATTACGCTGCTTCAAGAGTATAGATCCTGATACGGCAATACTTGGGAACCATGTACTATGATGAATGTGACGTTTTGAGGTACTACATGTTAAAAGGAATGCATAAAATATTGGGGCTCTTCTTTTCCATTCTTCACACAATTTAAGCATATCATAGTTTATAAGGTCATCCTTTTCATTTTTTCTTAACAGGGAGGGATCTCTTTTAGAACACAAATTGTCCACTTCGTTGGAAACAGCACGCAACACCTGTTCAATCACAAGCGTTCTGATGGATTCGCATTTAAAAACTGCCTTGGCAATTCTCGAAGGAGGACCATGGACTATTGGTTTTCCAGTACCTTCGAACTCTGATGTGAGGGTTTTATTGACAGTCTTACTAGGATATTCCACTGTTATTGTAACGTTCGTATTGGTTTTGTTTAACGAATTTTTCTCACGGGAAGGTTTAGTGACTGGGGTACTTGAAGTAAACAGATGTCGAGATAATATTTGACCAGTTGATATACTAGGCAGAGCAGGCAAACCAAATGCGTTGTAAACAAGTTGTAGTGGACCATTGTAGTACTGCGGCAAAGGACTGACAAGATTTGTATCACCGGTAGGAGTGGAAATATAGGAAACACATTTGGTAGGTTCTCCCACGACTTGATTGTCAAATTTCAGTTGTTTCCCATGTGACATCTTGCTTAAGGGTTCTTGTTGAATACTCGATGTTTCAGCAGATCGATGTTGCCTTTTAAATCGTCGATAGCAACTTACTGCTGTGTAAATTTCCTTTAGTTCCCTATTCAATTTTTCAACATTGGTTACAGCCTTATCGTATTTAAGTAAATGTTTGTAACACTTTATGCATATGAAAGCTCTGGAACATTTGTAACATGATACGGTCGATGTTTATTGAATTATTTATAAGATTAGGAATGTCAGCTGCAGTTGACCCAAATATTTTAATCCGCTCCTGTGGTTGTATATTATTTAATAAACAAATAAAACAGTTCGAGTCGTGTTTTAACTTTTTTGGAGTTTCATCCATCCATAAAAAAATACATTCAAATTAATGAATACGTAGGAGTACACTCAAACAGAAAGACAGTGCAACACTCTGAAACTAATCACTCCTCGCTTGCATTCACTGGTTTATTGGAGCAATTGTAAAATTTTGAAACTCTATCATCTCCCCTGTATAGAGTTTGCAGTGCCTTGTCATGCAAATAGCTTGCTTGCAAGGAACGTTTGGAATTTTTACGAACATTATTTTTAGTTTTTAATTCTTTTAGGAAATAGACTTGCCTAGATTTAATCCTTACACCCCAAATATTATTTACATCGGAGTTGCATCATAAATTGTACTCGGATTCAAATGACACAATGTCAATGAGTTTATAAAAGTAAAAGCATATTGTGTATTGGCCTATTGGGTTTACACTTTTACAGGTTCATTTAACTTTAACTCTCTCAAGTCTCAACAGACAATCGGACATGCCAAATCAATTGATATGACAACTTCAAAAAACTTTTTTTCAAAGCTAGAAATCATGATTTTTTTCAAACTTTTCCAGGGATACTTTGTTTTCTGCTCTCACGACTCCCCCTTGCAGCTCTAGTGCTCCACCCCTAGAATATAGACCTTACTGGGGTTTGGTGACACTTTATGTTGCTTCAGTCACCTGCTCACGGCTCACCCCCCTAAAATTTCTGGCATCACCCCAGTAAAAAATATGAAAATCCGTCTATGCATGCAGCAGCTATACATAAAATCTGTCAGTGTTGTAAGCAATTCTCTTGGCCTAATTCTCGTCAGTATTGCAATTCACTGGAGAATTTTGTTTTGACACAAAAAATATATGCAAACTAACTATAAATGTTGAGAAAAATTTCTAGAAATTTGGTTTTAGTAGAAGCTTTGCGATTTCCGAGCTAAAAGATAAAGTAAACTATAATTTTTTAGAGGGGGCCAAATCTCCGAAGCGGGGGGGGGGGATATTTCCTAGGAAATTTGGCCGGGGGGATTTGTTTTTTTGGGGGGGGGGAATTTCCTGTGACACCGGCAGTTTATTAGATAGCCGGCTGCCGGTCATCTAGTCACTTCGAATTTTGAACAGTCCATACGAATGAGGTTAAAATGACCAAGGTACATATTTGAAGCTACATGTAGGGATCAACTCCTCCATTTGCAATGCCTGTAAAAAGCCTATTCTTAGACCATGTGCAAACTGCTTCAACATTCATAATTCAATATTAAGTTCAATGACTTCAATCAAGGGACATGCCCAAGACCCCAAACAAATCCTGTTATAAATTCTACACTATCAAAAAGCTGTCAAGCGAGGGAAATTTTGTGACTTTGTAAGAAATGAATCAGTTGCAGAGAGGCCAATCCTGTGAAATTGTTAACTCAAGACAACATTTTTCTCATGTATTTATTACATGAGGTGTAAACCAGCTTCGAATCCGTTGCAATATAGTCCTGAGATTGTACTCTCTCTTCTTAGGAAATAAATAGCAATTGAAGTAATACATACCTTGCTTGATTTAATCTTTAAGTATTCCTGCGTTGAGAACACTATATCGATGATAAAATTCAAACATTCCGGCGATAAAGAAACAAACAATTTGAATATTTGCAAGCATGGCGGCAGGCAAAAAGTCGCGGCATGCAAAGCATGTTGGTACTATTTTTTACCGAACTCGAAGCGAGCTTTTCCAATTATGCCCTTTTATGGACATCATCATGCTTTGTTTGATAAACCATTGGTTACTGTGCGTTCTTTGGCGTCCATTTCAAAAAGTTTTGAATTTGAATCGCATTCAACAGCGTATTCCAGCGTTATAATAGCTATGTTATGGTAAATCTTTGCGAAGATGACATGAATATTAAAGCTTGGATATGAATAATGAACATGAATATTTAATAAAATTAAAGGAGCTAAACAGTCGATGCTGTCAAAAGATCAAAGCGAAGGGAAAAGCGTTGAATGCTGCCCAAGATCAAGGTCAAGATAGTGCGAATTTCAGGTTCGTAGATTGGTTTGAAGCGGTCCCAAGAATATTGTTTACATTTTAGTAATACATATCCCTTCTTTTCTTTGTTTTAACCATACAGCGTGGGAATGATCATCACTTCTAGTCTAGTAAATTTTTCTACATTATTTTACTCTGACTGATGCCTCCCTGGCATCTGTCTCTCTATATAAAATTCATGCAAAAAATGTTTAAATGTTCATAACCTTTATTTTTCAATATGTTTGCCAACATGTTTTGACTAAGACTGTTCACAATATAGTTTACAGGTACAATAAAATTTAATACTAACACCAAATGTTGTCCGTATATAAGCCCCCACTGTATATGAGACCCCCCCCCATGGTATAAGCCCAGGGTATATTACTCGACCACTGTTGTTGCCCTCGGCTTCGCCTCTGGCAATAAGGGCGGTCTCAGGTCCATAAAACACTTATGTACTTTGTCTTTGTTTCTTATGCACCAGTCAATGTAACCCCCAGCCATTAGGCGGGGATTAGATATTTTTGTTTCTAATCAGAGCTAATGCCCCGCCATGCAGAGGCAGTTAAAATCGACAAATACCCCGGCCTGTGGGGCTTTCAGAACCTTTTAAACCAAATTCAATACAAAGTGAAATGCAACACTGCAATACCAAAAAGACAATTTAGTAAAAGTGCTTTATATTCATATTAAATATGGTTATGTTTTAAAGTTTATATGAATTGCTTTTGTGTTTTTCTTGCCTATTGCCATAGTTAAATCATGAATATCAAAATATATTTAAACTGCCTTTCGATCATGCTTCAACACTCAATGCGTGCATTGTTAAAATTTCCATGTGTATCACTGTCTTTATTTGTTTTAATACAAATTTTATATTAAATATTACAATATATAACAATAAAAAACAACTTTAATACCAAGGTATGCGTGAGCGAAGAAAGATCAAAATATATATATAGGTTATCATATAAGGGATGAGGTGATATCAGTTTTATCGCTCGAGGGATGATATCACAATTGTCACGAGCGAGCGAGGGACAATTGTGATATCGTCCCGAGAGCGATAAAACTGATATCACCGAATCCCGAGTACGATAACCTATTTATTATATACTTGTACCTTTATCAGGGTTTGACACCCAAAAGTAAACAGTTTTGAAAAAATAGGATCATTTTAGAATTCAAAACAATTCATCATTCACCGAACAAATATGATTTTAGAAAGTAAATAGACCATTCATATAAATAATATACAATTTAAGTCTTTCATTTTGTATTATCGTTCTTGTTTTCTTCGATAAATTGTTGACATCAAGCAACACAAACCTCGAGTTGCCCATCTTTGTTTTGACAAGGCACGAAATTTAGCGGGACAAAAAACGATATCCGGGACAAAAAACGATATCCGGGACGATATCGTTTTTATGTCCCGCTGCTTCCTACCTGATAAAGGTACAAGTATGTGATAAAAAAGAATATTGATATTTGTGGTTAAAGCACTCAGCCGAAGCCAGTATAATAAGGGCTATAGATGAAGTATATACCTCAAATCCATGGTGTCAAATCCCCGCCAAACGCCCCGGTAATTCTAAAGAAGATCTAAACGAAGCAAATGCCCCGCTCATAGGGGCATTATAATAAATAATAAACTGCAAATGCTCCGCTAATCCCCACATAGCCCCAGGGTTGGGGGGCCGGGGGTTTACATTGACTGATGCATTATGTCTCTTATGGACCTTGTGCTGCATTTTTTGCAGTCGTTCCTGGTTAGATCTTAATGTGTATATTATATACTCAAAAATTTTGGATTACAAACCCTAAAATCAGCATTCTATATAATCAGTAGGCATGTAATGTTTTGTGAAGATAAACCCTTTTGATGTATTACATCGCTGCTGTGGGACTGGTTATCTGCATTGGTCTGCATGCTACTGGGTCCAAATCATAGAAACATTAGACCTAACCTGCGATCAGGCTCTATTTTACAAATAATAGCCTGACACAATCTTTAATCCGATCGCTTTCCACCCACAGCAAAGTTTATATTTAGTATCCAATCAAAATGTCGCAGGAGAAATTTAAATTTCACACAACAACAACAACAACAATCTAACTATAGTTGTGATCACTATAAATATCTCGGCGACAATATATAATGTAATTAGCACCAACCAATCAAATGACAGATTAAAAAATCTTTTGTCTCATGAACCAATCTGATTTACAACCGAAATACGGTTGTAAAAACATGGACTTTTGTTAAGATTTGTATCAGGCCTATTTATTTATTTATAGGCCTGATCGCAGGTTACATTAGATCTAGAATGCGTGCTTGGTCACACGACCGATGTCCACATTGAAAACAAAAATGCCCTTATAAATCCGCCATGTTGGATTTGTCCAAGGGGCATTATTATGTGGCGAGATTAGTTTGCCCTTACAAATTGGCTGTTTTGAATAGTTAATGTGGCTTCACTTGTTTAACTGAGAAAGGATAGGAGCACACATTCTACTGGTTTAATTAATATTTCTATGGTCCAAATGCATTGTCATGGGAAAATTGCCTTAATATCAATAGTGATAGGGCAGAAGAAAAACGAATGTAGTTGTTACTATACCATAATGTCTATTACAGTCAAACCGGATGTTCTGTTCCCCTGAATATTGCAATATTG